CCAGAAGACTTTTCTCAGAACCTCGGAGATCTCCTGATAGAGGCATTCAGGATTATTTTGGACTTTTGGAGAGGATCAGAATTACAGGTATGTTTGTGGATTCTGTTAGTGAAAGTGGAGAGGTTTGAAGCTGATTTGTAAAATGTAAATTGTGTTTACAGGGTAATGAAGGTACAATTGGGATAAAGTTTGAGTGTTATTATTGATTGAACATACAGCAAATTTCTTTCTCTGTTCCAATTTGCAATATGCAATTAATTTTTATATTTACATAAATTTCAGATAGGCATTGACTATGACGAGGTTTGCGAGTATGACATGATGGCAGTTTTCGAACATATCCTGACCAAGTTCCAATATATTACCAAAATGGAGGAAACTCTGTCACTAATGAGGAATTCTTACACGAATTATGGATTTTAGGAACAGATGTGGTTGTGCCTGATGAGACAAGAATTAAGGCCTTGAACTGGCAGAAAAGGTGAGGTGAATTAGTCTATATTATGCTTCAAATAATTTCAAAATGTATTGAAATTAAAGGGAATAACGCACTGAAATATTATTAGAATTATGATAGAATTGAAATGCTCTGCTTGTTTTCATTTTGCATTTTTTGTTCATGAGTGATATAACTGAATTTTTTTTCCAGTATTTAACTTTTGATAAGAGGTGAAGGAAATGCTGGAGACCTTGCGTCGTGGAGAAGTGGTTTCTTCAGAATGAAGAGCAAAAAATACAATTTTAGTGAAATGTTAGTAGAATCTAATATGTAACTTGTTTCATTGTAGACATATATATAATAATGAGAATAATTTATTTAGGGTTTGAATTATGGCTGTCTGTTTACTTTTACTTTTAAATTAGCCCCTGTATATAAAGAGTGGCCAGGGTTACCATCCACTGGCAGTGTGGGATTTGAATGCAGGTCGGCAAGATTGATAGAACGCTACCATTGCAGTACACAACACATAATATATACATATATGTGTTTTTTGGGCTTAGTATCTTTTGTAGGCAATACAGACCTAGTAAAAATGTTAAGATATTTCACCTGTAACTTCTTATGAGTATATAGTACACTAAGCTGTCTTGTGCATGAGTTCTTCAAGTAGAACTTTTCCATAATGTGGTAGCAGTTCCATGATAAAAAAATCAGAGGTGTTCCATCTATAGATCTTGGTGCCTCGATGAATGAATCACTATACTTGTGCAACAACAGGCCAAAGATGATAGATTTACTTTCTTTTCTTGCCTTTCAGCACCACTGAAACTTTTAAACTTGTATTCACGAGATATATATTAGGAGTTCACTGTGACCATACTTTTAAAACTATGAATAAGTATGATTACCACAAGAAAAAAATGTAATTAAACATTTTGATAGTCACATTTTCATCAGGATTTTGTGACTGATAGCTTGAATATCATTGTTGATCATTAATCTTACCTTATTGGTTTGGACTCTGAAGAGGGACGAATGAAGATTTACCATAAGACTTCAAGATGTTATCCAGTTGATGTCATTTCCCTAAATAATTGTAATACCTGTGTAAGCTGTGATATATTTAGTGGCATTTATATATTGGACCTCAATTATCCAGTGGATGTCATTCCCTATATAATAGTTATATTTGTGTAAGCAGTGATATATTTAATAGCACATATAGAATATGTCACTAGGCCAGCTTTTAAAAGATAAAATCTGTTTAGACACTCCTGTGAATGTAGGCTTAGGGAAGTTTTTGAGTACTTAAGATGTCCTTGAAGTAAGTATAATGAGGAAGAGTTGGTACCATGATTTAGAGTTTCTATTTCTACTGATATGGTAAATATATTTAGCTTTATGCACTTTTAGTCATGACATTTTTATTGATTTAGGCAGTATATCAGAAAAAGCATCTTGGCAGTACTTTTCTCTTAAACTTCATCTGATGGGGAAAATGTCATCATTATGTGAATGAAGTGCGCATTTTTGTATGAGTTGTGTTGAAGTTTAACTTAATATTTATATATTAGAGTTACAGTCATTTATTTCATGTGAAGTTGTTATGTACTTTCTTGGTGGAAGAATAGGCAAAGCATAAGAACATTTTAATAATTTCTTAAATAAAGGAAAGGCAAAGTATAAGAAGCATTTTAGTGTTCCTAATTAGAGAGGAAGTAATGTGAGATATTTGATATCTTATTAATGAGTTCTTTGTAACTAGTAAATGCCAATAGCAACTTTAAATAGAGCATTTTATATTGTTTTATTTTTTTATTATTTTTTTTTTTGAGGAGAAAGAATATACACTCAAAGTGTATTTTATTTTATATTCAAAAACATCCAAAATTATATCCTACCTTCAAGACTGTAGGAACAGAGACAAATTAGGTTATATTTTGACCTTTTGAGAGTAAGAAGAAAACACCTTTCATGCCAATAGAACATATTATTAATACTCTGAATAGTCAAAAATAAGAATGAAATTAATCAACCCTCTTAAAAAAATGTAAAAAAA